AAAGGTCTTAAATTTCATTAGCTTATTTTTTTGTAAACTTAACCGAGCTGCAGTGCGACAAAAAAAAAGTGAATTCATCTAACGTCAATGAACGTCTAATTTGTAGTATGCGCAAACAGTGCTTTTAGTTTGTCTCGTTAGAATGTTATAAATTATTTTTTGGCCATTTTACAAGCAATGCATCCTACTATAAAGGAGTTCTGGATGAAATTTTATAATTAAAGTATTTTTTGTTATTTAAAGCAGTGAGAAATGGTCATTATTTGAATTGAATCTGTTTTTTATTTGTTGTTTTTTTTTTTTGCTCGCATAATGGGTGCGATGTTGGTCTTAATTTTCATTTAAGTGGTCTTAAAAAGAGTTAAATTTGAAGTAGTACCTGGAGATCATAATGGAGGTCATAATTGTCAGGGATGCACCGATCCGACACCAAAACAATTCCGGATCGAACATCGGCCTCTAAATATCGGTTCAGCTGATCCCGCTTGAACACGTTGATGTAAAAGACTTTTCACTTGTTCTTGTTGGCCAAGAAAGTCTCATGACGTTTGCGTTTTTATTTGCACAGCAGTTTTATAGTTTCTGTTTGTGTAATCTGTAGCAAAATGTACCAGAACTTCCTGATTCTAGATCTGTACTTAAATCCTTTTATGCCTGATCAAAGTCCTCCTGGTTAAGTTAATATGGGTTGGTCCTGGTTGAGTCCTGGCTCAAAGAGGTCCCTTTCCGGCCTACGTTGATGAGCGATTAGTCAGGACATTGCGATTGGCTGACATTTGTAATAAGACAAAAGTAAATATTTATAATGTGCAGAATCAGGTTTAGGGCCTGTCCACACGACAAAGTTTTTTGGACGAAACGGTGAAGTTTTTATTTGTTTTGGCATTTTGTCCACACAGAGCCGGTGTTTTGAGTGGACGAAAACAGTTTTTTTTTTGAGAATGGGTTCCAGAGTGGAGAAATCTAAGAACACCGGCATTGTGTTGTCGCGTGTGAACAAGCAAACTGCAGATTTTGGAAAACGATAATGTTGTGACTAGGGATGGGCATTCGATGAAATTTTCTTAATCGATCGTCGGAAGAATTAACGATTGATTATCGATTAATCATTAATGTTTTTATATTAAAATGATCATCATTATTATTACTATCCTCACTACTAATCTGCATAAATAAATTCAACTTGACCACATATAAACCGTAACAACTCTAGAGCCACATCAGCCCGTTTGACATTATAATGTGTGTTTAATTCAGTTTTGTTCAAATCTCACAGAAACAAAACTTAAAACCGCATCACTAATTTGCATAAACTCAGCGAAAATTAAAAAAACAGCTCTTGTGTCGCTGATGTGGTTCAAATTCTGTCGGATTAAAAGACATGACTCAGGTGAATACAGATTAGTGTGACCAGATTTGCGTTTGTCAAAACCAGGACACCGTACGGGGGGAGGGAGGTGGGGACTCGTCATCCACATTGAGCGACTCTCACCTGGAAAAACTTTTTCCCACTGGACACAGAAACATATGTGCTGCTTTATACACTGTGCACATGGACTCACACTTGTCCCGAACGCAACGGAAAGTGTGGAATTTCTTGTACAAGTCATCGTTAAATCCACATTTGTGCTTCGGTTCGTTACAGACTGACCCACTGTTTGTGTCTCGCTCCTTCTGATGCAGAGACACATGTACACACCTGTTTGGTCACGATACACACAGGAACCTACATTCGGTTTGTCGATTAAAATTAACGTTATCGATGAAATTCTTAATGATCAATTATCGATTAATCGACTAATCATGCCCATCCCTACTCTCCAGCCTAAATATTAGTTTTGTAAGTCTAATGGTTTAGGTCTGTTAATCCCCGCTTAGTTCTTGTTTAGTCTTGGTTTAGTCCCTTTGTGTCCTGTTTTAAGCCTGGCGTATATTGGTGATTTTTGACTCTTTTTGAGCCGATTTTTCTCTCGTGTGACTGTTTTTGGGATCGGCTTTTGGCTTAAGCGTGTGTCGTGCTTCGTGTAGTAAACATGGTAACGAGAACCGATTTAATACCTCGTGACCAGCTGCAGATCGGCAATCGTAGGTCAAAAGAATATCAAACCTGTCGCCTCTCGCATCCGAGCATCGGATCGTGAAGTGTGAGAACATGAATCGTGAACTGTGAGCTTTTAAACCCTGTGATTTGGTCGTTCAGTTTGAGCTGGAGCTGAGTGAAACGATCGAAAATATTGCACAGTGTACGTCCGGCGTTAGTCCACGTGTTTGGGTTCTTTCACATCGGCAACAATTGGTGCGCCAAACGTTTCATTGGGACCAGAAGATCTTAGTTCGGTTCGTTTTCGTTGTTGTGAAAGCTTCAGTCGCACTCGGATCCGCACTAAATCAAGAGGACCGAGATCTCAAAAAAGAGGTGGTCTCGGTCCTCTTGACTCCGCACCAAATGCCGAACTCTGGTGCGGTCCCTCTGGTGAGAACGCCAAACCACAGACGGTGGATCCAAACGAACTTTTCGAAATACGTCATGGGAGGAGATGCTAATTATTTCATTTCCTATTTGTGGTGAGTGAAGAAGAGATGGGGCGAACCTCAAACCGTAGCCTGTGTTAACCCTGCTATAGTCACGGGTGTAGTAGTATGCAGTAGCAGTAGCGTAGTAGTAAAGTAGTAGTAGTACAGTAGCGTGAGTAAAAGATTAAAGGTATAGTTAGCAGTGATAACCGTGTCACTAAACAGGACAAACAGACTAAACCGGGACTAAAACACATGGACTAAAACTGGGGACTAAAAGGACTAAACCGGGACTAAAAGGACTAAACCAGGACTAAACCAGGACTTAAACCGAGACTAAACCAGGACTTAAACCGCGACTAAACCGGGTAAAGGACTAAACCGGGACTAAACCGGGACTAAACCGGGACTAAAACTGGGACTAAAAGTGGGACTGAAACGGCACTAAACCGGGACTAAACCGGGTCTAAACCGGGACTAAACCGGGACTAAAACCGGGACTAAAACGGGTCTGAACCGGGACTGAACCGGGACTGAATCGGGTCTAAACCGGGTCTGAACCAGGACTAAACCAAGACTAAACCGGGACTAAACCGGGACTAAACCGGGACTAAACCGGGACTAAAACCGGGACTGAAACGGCACTAAAACGGCACTAAAACGGGACTAAAACGGGACTAAAACAGGACTAAAACATTCTCAGTCCTAGTCTGGTCCCGGTCTCAGGACTGATCACCTGACAGTCTACAGGGGCACACCTCTGGGCCCGTCCCGACAATCCTGGTTCAGTCTTTTTTAGTCCTGGTTTTGTCCTGGTTTAGTCCGTGTACAGCTCCAAAGTCCAGTATAACATATTAAGTCACGAAAACGGGAAACGGTCGTTATCCATTTTTTCCATTATTAATTTAAACACAAAATCGAAAACTGAAAAAATGAATCATTATCTGTTTTTTATTTTGATATATTGTCAAGAATATTTTTTGGTGTATTTTACAAAATAATTTTGTACAAGAGCTGCAATTGTGTTGACATTTTCACTGTTTTGATGAGTAAAATTGGTGTTTTTCGTCTTAACAGACTGAGTGGACTTTGTATCACAGCCATGATTTAGCCTTTGTTTTTCACTGAACTGTATCGATTCGATTTGAAGTATATCGTATCGAATCATGACCTTTGCATTGACGTACGTATTGTATGGACAACTTCTTAAAGATACCCAGCCCTAATCATCACATTAAATGAAGCGATGTTTTGATATTTCCAATATTTTTGCACACCCCTAATGATGATATAGTATCGATATCCTGCATTGCTGTATCGATATATCTCCAAGAGTGTTTTTGGTATATTTTACTAAATACAGTTTTGTTGTTTGTTCAGAGGAAGAAAACTCATGTACGTGACACATTTGACATTTTCACTGATGATTTAATGATTGATTTTGATGATTAAAATGTTTGTGTTTCATTTTAACTTTGCACGAGAAGTTGGTACCAGAGCCGATGACCCCTTCCTCCTTCCTCCTTGCTCGATGTGACAAAGGAGAAGGAAACATGGGTCTGGTCAAGTGGTAACGGAGGGAAACAGGCAGATTTTTGACATTCAAATGTCTCTTATTCAGAAACTAGAGGGACTATTGAAATAAGTAAAGTATCAGAATGTAGGAAAGAGTTACACTCCAACAGGGTCAAGTTAAACCTGTGATATTCTTTCAAGTTGTTGACAAAAAATTTAAAAACTCATGTCGGTAACGGAGGGAATGAAATATGCAGCACTTTTTGGGCAATAAATCCAAACAGTGATAACTCTTGGTTCTCACTTACATATCCTTAACAAACTGGTTTGAATATTTGCTTCATATAGTTTTCTACCATATGGTACAAGATTAGGTTGAAAAACCTCTTACTTTTTGACTCATGAGATTTTTTTATTAAGAAAGTTCATGGTAACGGAGGGAAAAGTAACGGAGGGAAAATTTTACAAACAAGTAGAAGGTGCAGGATTTTACATAATTTGTCGCTTTTTTCTTCTGAATACTTTAATATTACTTCAAAATGAAAGGAAACTATTTCTATAAAATATGTCAGTCCTTCCAAGCAAATTTTTATCATTTTAAAAATTTTTTTTTTGAAAAATCATGTACCTTCATCAACAGTTCAAAGATGGAATAACACAAGATATGATGAAATACATCCATTTATTTACATTTTTTTTTTTGGAATTTCAAAAATGGTTAACAGTTTCATAAACATATGTGTTCAAACTTTAGTCAAAAATGGTACTGAAAAAAAACAGAACAGTTTAAACATAAAGTTGTAACACATACAGTTTCATAAACATACAATACATATGTATCTGTTCAATACATTTTATATCAGATGCATTAACTTGAATTTTTAGCCTTGTTGTTTACTTCTGCTTGATCGGGGCCACATGTTTTATTTGGAGAGTGAAATCCTAAATGTGTCTCCCCCTTGTGGTTGCAGAGAGGATCTGACGAGCTTCTGTCCAGCGTCTCCAACGGCCCGTATATCATGAGCACCACAGGTAAGAACTGCAAGAACTCACACACACACACACACACACAGAGCACACACACACACACACACACACACACACACACAGAGCACACACACACAGAGCACACACACACACACACACACACACAGAGCACACACACACACACACACACACAGAGCACACACACACACACACACACAGAGCACACACACACACACACACACACACACACACAGAGCACACACACACACAGAGCACACACACACACACACACACACACAGAGCAGATCTGGTTGATATGAAACCGATATAATGGGAGTTGGAGCTGCCGATAGTCAATATAATCACCGATATATTTAGTGACGTAAAAATTCACTGTAAATCTTGAATTGTTTAAAAAAACTTAGGTTTGGCTCTAGTGGATTTTAAATTGTTTATTTAGGCAACATTTATTGTTATTCTGCATCTTTACATCATATTTACAGACAGTAAGTCGGACTAATGGCATTTTTGCATCACATTCTAGACACTAGTGATGGGTTTTCCAGTTCTTTTTAGAGAACCGGCTCTTTTGGCTCGGCTCACTAAAAGCTGCTGGCTCTTTCGGCTCCCAAGCGGCTCTTCAGATTGTTTTGTGGCAAGCAGGACTAAACCAGGTCTAAAGCAGGTCTACTGCTAACTACTTTCTTCATTATTTGTCTCTAAAACCAAAATGAACAAACAGATAATGATTTATTTTTTCAGTTTTCGATTTTGTGTTTAAGTGAGTAATGGAAAAAATGGATAACGGATGTTTTCATGACTGAATGCCGGACTGAACCAGGACTGAACCAGGACTAAAGCAGGACTAAACCAGGATTTAAACCAGGACTTAAACTGGAACTTAATCCAAGACCTAAACCAGGACTTAATCCAGGATTTAAACCAGGACTTAAAACAAGACTAAACCAGGACTAAACCAGGACTAAAAACAAGACTAAATCCAGAATAAACCAGGACCAGAAACAAGACTAAACCAGGACGAGAAACAAGACTAAATCCAGAATAAAACAGGACTAAACCAGGACTAAACCAGGACTTAAAACAAGACTAAATCCAGAATAAACCAGGACTAAACCAGGACTAGAAACAAGACTAAACCAGGACTAGAAACAAGACTAAACCAGGACTAGAAACAAGACTAAACCAGGACTACAAGCAAGACTAAATCCAGAATAAACCAGGACTAAACCAGGACTGAACCAGGACTGAACCAGGACTGAACCAGGACTGAACCAGGACTGAACCAGGACTAAACCAGGAACCAGGACTAAACCAGGACTAAACCAGGACTAAACCTGGTCCCGGTCTCAGTCCCGGTCACCCGACAGCCTATGCGGGCGCACCTCTGGGCCTGTCCCGACACTCCTGGTTCAGTCCGTATATGGCGCAAAAATCCGGCATCGCAGTTTAAATCATGAAAACGGGAAACGATCATTATCCGTATTTTCCATTTTTCATTTAAACACAAAATCAAAAACTGAAAAAATGAATCATTATCCGTTTTTTTCATTTTGGTTTTAGAGCCAAATAATGAAGAAAATAGTTGTTTTTTCGTTTTCTTTTTTTGGTTTTATATTGAAAAACAACTGAACGAATGACACACGGATTCTCCTGTCCCTCTCTGTGACACAGACGATCACGTGACCAGATTTACAGATCAGTTTGTCGATCTGATACCAAAAAATGTCCCTTTTACTGGAGCTGCTCCCCCACAGACCACAGCGAAGTCCATAGTGCTGGCCTCCACAGACTGGTAAAAGATTTCTTGCTGCACACGTTGAAAGACCTGAGGAAGTCGAGTCTCCTCTTGCCGTTTTGTACACAGTGTTTCTGTTGTCCCTCCAGTCCAGCCTGCATTAACTTTAGTATTTGTTTACCCAAATCACACAGCTGAACAGAACCGCACTGTCTGGAAACACGGGATGATCTGTGTTTAATCCAGACAATATTATCAGTTCGTACGTTACTTTTTAAACTCTGTGTTAATCTCTTGCATTATGGCCCGATAAATTGGTATTTTAGCTGAGATTACCTTGTGACGGTAGGAGCGGCGTTTCCTCTTTTGTGAAATCCGAGCTCTTGCGTATGGCAAAACAGAATTTTTGACCTTTGAATCATCTTATTTTTCTTCCTCAAAACATTCCATGAGACTTCCCTCACCGTGAAGCCCGTGCATCCCTCAGCCCTCTGCTTTCAGACGCACGACTCACTAGAACAGGGGTCACCGAGCTTTCTGAAACCGAGAACTATTTCATGGACACACTGAGTCATACGAAGGGCGACCAGTTTGATACGCTCTTCTGAAATAACACGTGTGCTCAGTTTGTCTTTAGTTATACATTATTAATAATTACCGTATTTTCCGGGCTATTGGGGGCACTCTTAAGCCTCCAACCCCATCAAAAAAACGACTGCACGCCTCACAATCCAGAGCGCCGCACGCATACACACACGGAGCAGACGGCGACCGCGCGACGAAAAACACCCGCAACCACACTCATCACTCCACGCCGACGAGGAACGGAACGGAGGAACGAACCGAAAAAGCGAGCGCGACGTGCCGCTTCTAGACACGACTGAACAACTGAGTCACTGCGAACACGTCGACAATCCGTTGGTCCCAGACAGCACCCTCCCTACACGCCACAACTGAACAAAGCCCAGAGTCACCGTGAACGAACAAACAAACAAAACCACTCACCCATCACACTGTTGTGTTTCCTTTAAAGTCCAATGCGGTTTATTTGTGAAAAAAGTTCGAAAATAGACCATTTCAATGACAGTGCGCCTTATAATCCAGAGCCCCGAATAGTGTGGAAAATACGGTAATTAATGATAATCATCTTTGTGAAGACACTGATCACGTTAATTATTTCTCACAATAATTATCAACAATGACAGAAAAGTGGGAAACAGAGATCAATATTCAGCACTTTAACTTTATTCATCTCAGTAATTGTTATATTTTTAAGTGCAGTGTTACAATTATCATCGTTGCTTCTGTGAGTGTGTTAATGTGCACATCAATGTCCCGGGTATAAATGCACTTTCCCCGTTTCTTGACATAATCTTACAAATGCACAAGCTCAAAAATTATATATTTAATAAACCAGGTAAAAATACAAACAACCATGAGCTCCAACCATGAGGACACTGCACAGATCCATGTTTCCAAACTCTGTTGTACAAATTCTACTGCAGCAAATTCTGAACTAAAATCTTCTGCATAAATAAACTCAACTTTACCACATATAAGCCATAACTCCTCTAGAACCACATCAGCCCGTTTGAGATTATGATGTTTTTTAATGCAGCTTTGCCACATTTGTTTGCATTTTACAGAAATGAAACTTAAAACCACATGACTCATTTGCATAAATTGTGCTGATCATTCATTTAAATCGCTTCTCTAAACTTCATGTATAATGAACATATATGAACATTTAAGATATTGTCATTTTTAAATCTATATAAATTACGAGTGTAACAATAACCGAAATATCGTGATGTCGTATCGTCAAAGTTCTCACAATAATATCGTGGACCATCACAATATATCGAATTACAAGGCTCTTAAATGCTTTAATGAAGAGTTATGATGCAGCAATAGTAAAAAAAAAAAAAAAAAAAGACAGCAGGAACTACATAGACCATGATCCTTTGCTCCATTTCAGTGCAGATACAAGAAGAAGTAACAGTTCTAACACTTTTAAGTCTTAGTTGTTTGGATTAAGTTTTGTCGAGGCATTTTAAGAGGAAAAAGTAGAATATTCACAGTTTTATTCACAGCCTCCACAAAATATCGCAATAAATATCGTACCGTGAGCTTTGAATATCGTTACACCCCTAATATAAATGCAAGGATGATTTAAAAAAAAAGAAGTGCAGCAGAATAAAATAAAATCGTAGATGCAGTTCACTAATGAGTCGCGCTGTTTTTAGAACCGGCCTGCGGGTGACTCACGTAGTCCTTGGGGCGACCTGGGACCGTGTTGGTGAGCAGTTTTGGGAAGGTGACTTTTAAAATGTAATCCCCTACAGATTACAGATTACATACCCCAAAATGTAGTTTGTAACATAATCCATTAAATTACTTATTAATGTAATCTGAATACTTTGGATTACTTGACATTGTCATGCTTTTTAGTTTAATTCTGGTTTTAGTCCTGGTTTTAGTTCTGGTTTTAGTCCTGGTTTAGTCCTAGTTTAGCTCTGGTTTTAGTTCTGGTTTTACTCCTGGTTTTAGTTCTGGTTTAGTCCTAGTTTAGTCCTGGTTTTAGTCCTGATTTAGTCCTAGTTTAGTCCTAGTTTAGTTCTGGTTTTAGTCCTAGTTTAGTCCTGGTTTAGTCCTAGTTTAGTCCTGGTTTTAGTTCTGGTTTAGTCCTAGTTTAGTCCTGGTTTAGTCCTAGTTTAGTCCTGGTTTTAGTTCTGGTTTAGTCCTAGTTTAGTCCTGGTTTAGTCCTGGTTTTAGTCCTGGTTTAGTTCTGGTTTTAGTCCTGGTTTAGTCCTAGTTTATTTCTGGTTTTAGTCCTGGTTTTAGTCCTGGTTTAGTCTTGGTTTAGTCCTGGTTTAGTCCTAGTTTAGTCCTAGTTTATTTCTGGTTTTAGTCCTGGTTTTAGTTCTGGTTTAGTCTTGGTTTTAGTCCTAGTTTATTTCTGGTTTTAGTCCTGGTTTAATCCTGGTTTTAGTCCTGGTTTAGCCCAAAATGTGAAAACAGTAAAATACCTCTGTGTAATCCATTTATTTCAACAAAGTAACTGTAATCCAATTACCACTCACTGAAACAGTAACTGTAACTGAATACAGTTACTCATAATTTGTACTCTGATTACATAACTCCAGTACATGTAATCTGTTACTCCCCAACACTGTCGGTGACTCCTGCACTAGAACTTCATGTCGGTTTAGTATTTGTGGTTGCTGTCTGTTTATTTGATTTTTAAAAAAATCTCTGAATACACCTAAATATTTCCTGTTGCACCAGTGTCTTTACATTTCCTTCTAAACTCCTTCTCAGATAACACATGAGTCACGGCCTTTTACCGTCAAAGCACAACTCACAACTGTCTCTAATATTTGTTATTTAAATTGAATCACTCTTGTTCATATGTTACAAAGTCGTGTCATGTGTGTTTAATTAGTGCAGATCCAGATGAGCCTCGTCTCACGTTTGAACAGAGTGTGAAAATGACAAATAAAAAGCCCATGTTTTCAGTCCAGGCCCAAATAAATTTAATCTATGGGTCCAGTCAAGTGGTAACGGAGGGAAACAGGGGCAGATTTTTGACATTCAAATGTCTCTTATTCAGAAACTAGAGGAACTATTGAAATAAGTAAAGTATCAGAATGTAGGAAAGAGTTACACTCCAACAGGGTCAAGTTAAACCTGTGATATTCTTTCAAGTTGTTGACAAAAAATTTAAAAAACTCATGTCTGTAACAGAGGGAATGAAATATGCAGCACTTTTTGGGCAATAAATCCAAACAGTGATAACTCTTGGTTCTCACTTACATATCCTTAACAAACTGGTTTGAATATTTGCTTCATATAGTTTTCTACCATATGGTACAAGATTAGGTTGAAAAACCTCTTACTTTTTGAGTCATGAGATTTTTTATTAAGAAAGGTCATGGTAACGGAGGGAAAAGTAACGGAGGGAAAATTGTTCAAGCAAGTAGAAGGTGCATGATTTTACATAATTTGTCGCTTTTTTCTTCTGAATACTTTAATATTACTTCAAAATGAAAGGAAACTATTTCTATAAAATATGTCAGTCCTTCCAAGAACATTTTTTATCATTTTAAATACATAAAAAAAAAAAAAATCATGTACCTTCATCAACAGTTCAAAGATGGAATAACACAAGATATGATGAAATACATCCATTTATTTACATGATTTGCAGGTCTTTGAAATTTGGGAAATAATTTTTGTTCCATGTTTCATACATGGTCTGTTTAAAACGTATGGAACTTTAGAACCAAAAATGGTACAGAAAAAAGGTCAACAGTTCCATGAACAGATACATATGTACTCTAGTTTAATACATTTTTATATCAGATGCATTAACTTGGATTTTTGGCCTTGTTGTTTACTTCTGCTTGACCGGGCCCACATGTAGCATTTTCTATTTCTTTTCTAAATACTTTAGATAATCTTGTCTAAATGAAATGTCTAAGCCACTCTGTTCCACCTGCTGATGTCATGAGGTGCTGTACTCCCTCTTCAGAGATTTCCCCTCTGTGTTTTTATTTATATTCTGTTTAACTGTGTTTTTTTTTCCTCTTGTGCCGTAGCCAATGGCAGTGACAGCAAGAAGTTCAAAGCAGAGATGCGTGGCGTGGGCTCTCCCTCTCGCGTGCTGCACATCCGCAGACTCCCCACGGACGTCACGGAGACGGACGTCATCAGCCTGGGCCTGCCCTTCGGAGACGTCACCAACCTGCTCATGCTCAAGGCCAAGAACCAGGTACGGGACCAGAACAGTACAACTGATGATGAGGAGGAGAGTTAGAGGAGGAGTGTCAGAGGAGTGAGTGTCAGAGGAGTGAGTGTCAGAGGAGTGAGTGTCAGAGGAGTGAGTGTCAGAGGAGTGAGAGTCAGAGGAGTGAGTGTCGGAGGAGTGAGTGTCGGAGGAGTGAGTGTCGGAGGAGTGAGTGTCGGAGGAGTGAGTGTCGGAGGAGTGAGTGTCGGAGGAGTGAGTGTCAGAGGAGTGAGTGTCAGAGGAGTGAGTGTCAGATGGAGCAGAGGAGGCAGAAAGGAGGGTCAGAGGAACACAGAGGATATGGTCAGATGGGTCAGAAGAGCAGACGAGAGGGTTTGAGGAGCAGAGGATGTAGAGGAGAGGGTCAGAAGGAGCAGAGGATGCAGAAGAGTGTGTTAGAGGAGCAGAGGATGTAGAGAAGGTTGGATAGAGCAAAGGATGCAGAGAAGAAGGTTGGATGGAGCAGAGGAGGCAGAGGAGAGGATCAGAAGGAGCAGAGGATATAGAGGAGAGGGTCAGAGGAACAGAGGACAGGGTCAGATGGGTCAGAGGAGCAGACGAGAGGGTCTGATGGAGCAGAGGATGTAGAGGAGAAGGTTGGTTAGAGCAGAGGATGCAGAAGGGAGGGTCAGATGGCGCAGAGGATGTAGAGGAGAGGGTCAGATGGGTCAGAGGCGCAGACGAGAGGGTCTGGAGAGGGATGGAGCAGAGGATGCAGATGAGCAGGTTAGACAGAGCAGAGGAGGTCAGAGAAGACGGTCAGATGGAGCAGAAGATGTAGAGGAGAAGGTCAAATTCAGCAGAGGAGAAGGTCATAGAAGCAGAGGAGGGGTCAGAAGAACAGAGGATGTGACGTGTCTCGTGTGCGTTCAGGCGTTCCTGGAGATGAGGTCAGAGGACGCCGCCGAGAGCATGGTGGCGTATTACTCGACTGTGCTGCCCGTGGTCAGGAATCAGCCGGTGCACGTCCAGTTCTCCAACCACAAAGAGCTCAAGACGGACAACTCTCCAAACCAGGAGGTATTTAGTGCTAGATCCTCACTTTAAATCATTTTTTTATGAAGTTAGACAAATTATAATACACAAATTAATAATCAGTTTATAAAAGGAAAAAAGACAGTCGGAAATGGAAATTAATGTAACTTTGGATGATATTACCAATGATGATATTTGTCATAAAGGGGTGGGAAGTCAAATTTGGAAGGAGTTTGACTGGAAGATTAAGAAATTAAGACTCTTTAGAACCCCGCTGAAAACTTTTATCTCAAAATATTGGAGGAATTAGGGCTGCTGTATTATAGAAAAAATTGAAAAAAAATCATTATCACGATTATTTTGGTCAATATTGAAATCACGATTATTCAAACGATTATTTTTTTTGTTACAAGATGCATTTATTCAGCATTTCTCTCTCCAAACTAACACTTTGTTATTGATGTATAAAAATTAAAATGAATAAAATAAACTTTGAACATGAAATAAGGCAGAAAAACATAAATGTATCCAAAATAAACTCTATATGCAGCTCTTCTACAATCTCTCTACATTAAAAAATAAAATAAATAGACTTATTTATACGAAAATATACCAAAATAAACATTGTTGAGCTTAATCATTATATAAGTTTGGAAATAGTTTGACACACAAATCAAAATCACGATCAAAATTCAATTAATTGCAGAGACTTAGGAGGAACTGTGGACTTGTGGGTGACTAAAACTCACATATTTTGTGACTGTCCCGATATATAATGTTTCTAGATTGATGTTAAACAATCCAATAAATTATTATAAATAACAATCCAATAAATTATTATAAATAAAGCCAGTTAAAGGAAGGCCAACTGATAAAAAAAAAAAAAAAAAAAGTTTAAAAGATGATACTGATGGTTAGTGTGTTAGACTTTTTTTTTAAAATTATCACTCAGATTGTTCCTCGCACTAACCCCTCGAACAGAAATCACTTTTTTTCTTTGTTCTTATCTTCTTTTTTTTTTTAAAGATGCCAGTTTTTTGGGTTTTTTTCCCATTTATGGTCATACAAACTAATAGAATTTTGTGCCTTTGTTAACATTATTATTTATCGTTTATTTATATTTATCATTATTGTTGTACTGTGTAACATTTTCATTTCTCTGAACTATTTTAAGTATGATCTAAGACAGGGGTGTCAAACTCATTTTGGTCCGGGGGCCGTATCCAACCGACTTTGATCCCAAAGGGGCCGGATCAGAAAACTCATGTCATATAAACCCCAAAAATAACAATAAGTTCAAATATTTGTGCAGAGAAACACAAATCTATTACACAAATCTTTTTTAATTGATGAACTCTTTCTTATTATAATATTATAACTATTACGAACAACCTGAAACTTTAAGAAAAATTCAATTTCAACACACACGCAGAAAATTAACAATATTTTAATAAAAAATATAATTAAAATATTTTAGTAGAAAATCACCCAAGGGCCACATTAAAGGTCTTGGAGGGCCGGATCTTGACACCTGTGATCTAAGAGTACTGTGTTGTATTTCTCGTCCCGCTCCTGTAGAGGGCGCAGGCAGCTCTCCGTGCCCTCAGCTCGTCCCACCTGGACCCCGCCGCCCCGCCCCCCAGCGCCGTGCTGCGTGTGGTGGTGGAGAACATGGTGTGTGCCCCGGGCGCCGTCACGATGGACACGCTCTACCAGGTAAACCGCCTACAAACGAACGACTCAACAAATACTACTGTTACCGTTACTGCTAAAACTGCCGCTCCTGTTACTACCAGAGGCGAGGACTTGGACTTGAGTCAATATTTTTAGGACTTGAGACTTGACTTGATAAAACGGACTAAGATTCGGGACTCGACTTGGGACTTGAGGCCTGTGACTTGAGAAAACTTGATGCTTCTCCTAAACAAATATATGTTTTTATAAAAATACTTTTCTCTTTACAGAACATGTCACTCCTACTTCAGCTCAGATATTTGTTAAAAATCTGAGCGGAGATCAAATTTTTGACAATTATGCACTAAAATGTTAAAATAAGGTCAAGGAGCGGTGTACATTTCTATTTTAGACACATTTACACAACTAATCAGTAGAAAAAAAGTGATTTTGGCTCTTTAAGTGACAATTTCTGAGAAAGTTAAACCGAAAAGTACAAAAATCCAGGGAACAGCGGTGACTTCTAAAAGAGTATACCTCCACCTACGTCATCGACACAAAAAACAGACTGTTTATGAGTAAGGAACACATTTTTCAGACATATTAAACCCAAAATCTGCAAATTTCTCTGATCTGGCCAAGATTGTTAAAGCTTATATCAGGTTATTCATCTTGTTTTCAGTTTTATTAGCTACTTACAAGTTCAGAGACGACTTAATCTAGACTAAACGTCATTTATTTTAAGATAACTTTCTTGCCAAGTAAAATTATCTTGCTGCGTGGACAGAGAATTTCACTACTTTTAAGTCATTTTCTGATAGATTTAAGTGTTTATATTTTACATTTTGGCCAAGCTTTTTTGCTCTGAAAATGGAACAGAACTGGGACTGTCCCTATGGAAGTCACATCTGCTCCTGTGTCCAAACAGGAAGAAAATAATGACTTCAATGGAATTAAAAAATTAACTAAAATAAACAAAACTAGGTCAAATTTTTTGTAATATAAGCTTTAGTGAAAAAGTCCTCTAACCTGTCATATGCACAGCTGTGTGTTGTGTGTGTAACTTTTGTTGTGTGTTGTTGGTAAAGTCTCCTCTGCTCTCACGTTTCAGGTTTTCTCAAAGTTCGGCACAGTTTTGCGGATCATCGTTTTCACCAAAAACAGCCAGTTTCAGGCGCTGCTGCAGTACTCAGACGGACAGGCCGCTCAGGCTGCTAAAGTGGTGAGGGTTTATACACTACAGAACATCACTGTCCTCATCTGCAGAGGTCCACCTGAGCACACCCAGGGTTTGGGATCACTGACATTACACTGAACTATTACTCGAGTAAAAAGTTGTACACTTAATAGTTAGCACTGAAGTTCTGTATGGTTCTGGTTTATGGTTTAGCAAAAAACATCAGAATTTGAATATTTTCTCACATGCACAAATATTCAAATAGTGCTTTTGATAAAACACAATGGGGTAAGTTCCTTTAGTTATGTACCGTAAAATACCAAATAAGAGCCAGGGTGTTCATGTGTTTCAGTCATTTAACAGACCAGGCTTTTATTTGAGACCAGGCGGCAATGTGGAGCAAGCGATTAATTCCTTCCTCACAAAAATCTTGGGGGGGGACTCAGCATTTATTTGGACCTGGCCGTTATTTGTCAAAATATTCACCTGCACTCGGCGTTTAAAGGGGACCCGGCGGTTAATTGAAACCCGGCTATTATTTGGTATTTTACTGTAGGCTACTGTTGCCTGTCTGCATGATTCACTTTGGAAAAGACTGTAAGTTGGTGAGTCCTGAGAGCTCCCCTCACTTTGCTTGGCCCTCTGACCAAGAAGCAGCATGACCAGATGAGATTGACTGAAATTCAGGACGGTGTTGGCTGATATTCGGGATGGGAGGGGCAAAGTGTAGGCTCAGACAAGTTGATGCATTCCAAGTTATTTTTCTTTCCAAACAAAAATCACATTAACTAATAAAAACAATGGGTTTTAATAAATAATTTTTACAGACAAAATGGGAAAACATAACAAAATACTCCACCTCCCTCGGACTCTCTACGAACTATTTTTAATGTTTATCAGAAAATAAGTACTCAGTATTCTGTTTGAGCGTAGTTTTCGGGACATTTAGGATTCGGTACAACAGCTTAGATTTCGGCACAGTCCCATTTTCTTGAGGACGTCTGGTCACCGTACCAAGGAAGTTTACCAGGGTGTGATGCTTGGAGCCTTCAAGACTGTTACTTCAGAATAAACTCTGAGTAGTTACAAAATGGGCCCGGTCAAGCAGAAGTAAACAACAAGGCCAAAAATTCAAGTTAATGCATCTGATATAAAAATGTATTGAACAGATACATATGTACTCTAGTTTATGAAACTGTTGACCTTTTTTCTGTACCATTTTTGGTTCTAAAGTTCCATACGTTTTAAACAGACCATGTATGAAACATGGAACAAAAATTATTTCCCAAATTTCAAAGACCTGCAAAAATCATGTAAATAAATGGATGTATTTCATCATATCTTGTGTTATTCCATCTTTGAACTGTTGATGAAGGTACATGATTTTTTTTTTTTTTTTTTTTTTTTGAAATGATAAAAATTTGCTTGGAAGGACTGACATATTTTATAGAAATAGTTTCCTTTCATTTTGAAGTAATAAAGTATTCAGAAGACAAAAACTGACAAATGATGTAAAATCCTGCACCTTCTACTTGCTTGGACAATTTTCCCTCCGTTACTTTTCCCTCCGTTACCATGACCTTTCTTAATAAAAAATCTCATGAGTCAAAAAGTAAGAGGTTTTTCAACCTAATCTTGTACCATATGGTAGAAAACTATATGAAGCAAATATTCAAACCAGTTTGTTAAGGATATGTAAGTGAGAACCAAGAGTTATCACTGTTTGGATTTATTGCCCAAAAAGTGCTGCATATTTCATTCCCTCCTGTTACCAGACATGAGTTTTTTAATTTTTTGTCAACAACTTGAAAGAATATCACAGGTTTAACTTGACCCTGTTGGAGTGTAACTCTTTCCTACATTCTGATACTTTACTTATTTCAATAGTTCCTCTAGTTTCTGAATAAGAGACATTTGAATGTCAAAAATCTGCCCCTGTTTCCCTCCGTTACCACTTGACTGGACCCAAATAAGATTAAGTAAACGTACTTCACACTTCTTGTATGATTGTATCTGAATGAAACTCTTTGTGTGTTTGCCAGTTGCTGGACGGTCAGAACCTGTACAGCGGCTGCTGCACCCTGAGGATCAGCTTCTCCAAACTCAACACTCTCGACATCAAGTTCAACAACGAGCGCAGCCGCGACTTCACCCGCCCGGACCTGCCCAGCGGAGACGCACCCGCCATGGAGCACCCGCCGCCCATGGCCACCGCCTTCAGTACGGACACACTTCACTGTTTTATAGTAGAGAATAGTGCTCAGGATTATCAGTATCACAGCAGTAAAAGGGCTCAGGCGATATCTCTCTACATTTGCATACTCGCATCGCCGTGGTCGTGCGGTTACTTCCGTCAGAGGTTTTCGCTGAGTCGCACTAAAATCAATAAACCGCATTTGTCTCTGTTAAAACCTCATATTACATTAGAGCGGAAATGGGTTCGCTGACCATACCTCTGACCGGAAGTAACCACGTGTGACCTGAGTGTGGAAGAGCTGAACTGAAGACACTTTTTTTTTAATGCAAATGTAGAAGGCCTGAGCCAACATGAGAGCCAACAGGGATACTGGAGGTTCCTGATTGGTGTATAATTTTATTTATTAAGGAAAAGCCCCTTGAGATGTGTCACAAAAATACAAACAAGCAAAAAACAAAACAATATATCTAACAAACACAAAACAACAAGACAAAATACACGCATCAAGAATCTTGGACTTCTGGTCATTGCACAATTCATATTGGGAAGGATTTTCCCAAAAAAGTGAGCATCAAACCTCCATGTTTGTTTTCCCAGTGGGATGTGTCTATTGTCAAAGTCGATCTTTTCAAGTCTTTTGAACCATATCACTTTTGTTTCTGGTTCTGATATTGTCATATTTTAGTTTTGTGATTCGGACGTCGTTAATTGTGTGGTTGTTGGATCCTGACAGCGGAAAACGGCTCGAGAAATGTGTTTGTGAACTTCATAAATGCAAAAGTGAATCAGATGTGTGTGACTGTAAACCTCTGTTCAAACTGTTTCTCTTCCCAACGGAATTGAAAAATAGTGAAAGGTGAAGGCGATGGGCAGGATTGATCCACAGGAAGAACCAAAAAGGAAACATTTGACTGACTAAATCATCCCGAATTTGCAGCAAACATTTTGTATGTGGAGCGACAACAAAGCAAAATCCCGATCTCTCACTCAACCTCGGTTACGAATTTAAAAAGTCAACGCCAAAGTGAAAAGCACCAACTGTTCACCAAGAAACACCTTCCACTGCAAAGAGACCAAGACGTGATGTTGCTGTAAAACCACAAGAACAAGAAAGTGCAGCTCAGTCTGTTTGTCTCCTGCTCCTCTACATTAACAAATGAGATCCTGTTTTGTTGTCGCTCCACATAAAATGTTTGCTGCAAACTCTGGATGATTTCTTAGACAGTCAAATGTTTCCTTTTTGGTTCTTCCCGTGGGTCAATCCTGCCCATCACCTTCACCTTTCACTATTTTTCAATTCTGTTGGGAAGAGAAACAGTTTGAACAGAGGTTTGAGTCACACACATCTGATTCACTTTTGCATTTATGGAGTTCGCAAACACATTTCTCGAGCCGTTTTCCGCTGTTAGGATCCAACAACCACACAATTAACGATGTCCGAATCCCAAAACTAAAATATGACAATATCAGAACCAGAAACAAAAGTGATATGGTTCAAAAGACTTGAAAAGATCGACTTTGACAATAGACACATCCCACTGGGAAAACAAACATGGCGGTTTGATGCTCACTTTTTCGGAAAATCCTTCCCAGTATGAATTGCGCAATGACCAAAAGTCAGAGATTCTTAATGCGTGTACAGTATACAGAGACTCAAATAAACATTAAACATACACATAAAGAACCATCAATATTACAACCAAACAGATCCCTCACGAGAAGCAGTTACATTGTGTTTTGAGACTATTAAATAAGTCGTTCTTGAATATATGGAGTGACGATGTGGAGCGCAGGGAGTTTGGCAAATCGTTCCAGTCTGATGGTGCTTTGAATCTGAACGCTCTTGGTCTGATGACTCTGACTCTGGAGGTCTTGGGTACCACAAAGGAAGGATAATCTAATTGTCTAAGTGAGTATGTTGATGAGAATGGATCAAAGTATTGTTGAAGGTAGGATGGAGAGAAAAGAAAGATGCATTTAAAGATGAACTGAAGCCAATGAAAGTGCATTCTTGCATTAGGAAGTGACCAGTGAAGTGTTTCATACAGATCTGTGCTTTACTGGAGCTGAAGGGGAAAGTTGAAGGAGGCGGAGCCTAGAAGAAGGAAGTGTTCTGGGCTCAGAGTCTGCAGCACTGACTGTCGTCTCTGAACCGACGTGCCAGACAGAAAAATACCATGAAGGTGTTTGACAACTGTACAGTGTTGGGGAGTAACAGATTACATGTACCGGAGTTATGTAATCAGAGTACAAATGATGAGTAACTGTATTCAGTTACAGTTACTGTTTCAGTGAGTGGTAATTGGATTACAGTTACTTTGTTGAAATAAATGGATTACACCGTGGTGTTTTACTGTTTTCACATTTTGGACTAAACCAGGACTAAAACCAGGCCTAAAACCAGGACTACAACCAGGACTAAACCAGGAATAAACCAGAACTAAAACCAGGACTAAAACCAGGACTAAAACCAAGACTAAAATCGGGCCTAAACCAGGACTAAAACCAGGGCTAAACCTGGTCTAAAACTGGTCTAAACCAGGACTAAAACCAGGACTAAAACCAGGACTAAAACCAGGACTAAAACCAGGACTAAAACCAGAACTAAAACCAGGTCTAAAACTGGTCTAAAACCAGGACTAAAACCAGGACTAAAACCAGGACTAAAACCAGGACTAAAACCGGACTAAACCAGGATTAAAACCAGTAAAAGCAGGTATAAACCAGGCAGCAGTGATCTCATATAAAAATCATTTCTCTATCAATAATATTTTTAATCTGATGAAGTAAAATCAGTTTTTTTGTTTTTTTTTTTTTTTTTATATATTTTTTTAATTTTAGCAGATAAAACATCTGATGTTCAGATCCTGGTCTTTTCTTCTCTACAGTAAAACAAAAGTCTGTTCATGGAGATTTGGGCTCAACAGACAATTTGAAGAAAACAAACATTCATTTTCAGGATGTGGTTGGTACATTCATGTCGTTTTAAAAAACACGACAATATCAAGTAATCCAAAGTATTCAGATTACATTACTCACTTTAAGTAATTTAATGAATTACGTTACAAGATACATTTTGGGGTAAGTAATCTGTAATCTGTAGGGGATTACATTTTAAAAGTCACCTTCCCAACACTGCAGCTGTAGAAACACATTTCCCTGTGAGTAAGAAGTCTACGTTCACACTGCAGCCTGAAGTGACCCAAATCAGATTTTTAAGTCCCTATGCTCCTGTGTCTGATCTTTTAATGACAGTCTGAACCACACATCCTGTAGCCACTATTTGTCAAATAAAAGTAACAAACAAAAGCAGTGAGCTAACAGAGAACTAAACATAACTCAAATAATCACTTCTGGGCACCATGGGTCTGTGGTTTATGCAGTGACAGAAAAAAAACAAATCAATATCCATGACCAGAGCTGTGTTTCCAAGATTTGTTTCCAGTTTCAGGCAAACAACAAGGATACATGATTAAGGCCAACTTTTGCCTCTCCTGTCAACTGGTAACGAACCATAGGCCCACCATGTGCACTCTGGTCTACATGTACCACCCGATTTTATCCCCGACGTGACCAAGATTAAACCAAAAACAGAAAAGGTGCCAAAGGTAAATAATACCAAATTAGACTAAACAAATTAGCAAACATAATATTAACACAGCAAAAATATATATAAAAAAACTAAATCAGTAAACTAATTGACAACTAATTTTAGAATATACAAAAGAAGCAAATAGTTCCTACACATTCGATTTTTTTCAAATGTGACCCAGGACACTTGGATTTGTGCTCCTAAAACCGATACATATCTGATCTTTTGACATGTGACTTCAGTCTGAACGTTCAGGTCACATTCATCCACCTACACGTCACAAATGTACACAAACGTCACTATTCTGCACTGAAGAAGGCAGAAACTGGAAGAACACCACAACCATTGTGGACGACAATGCAAGAGAATTTTCAGGCTATGCTAAAGAGTTTGGCTATAGTTGGTAACAAGCAGCTGCTGCAAGTCAATACAGCCCAACACAGACATGTTTGCTCACTGAAATAGGCCGCCGAAGACGTGCTTCCTGTGGAAGTGAGGAGCGCCGGGGTGCTAAACCAGGACTAAACCAGAATTAAACCAGAAATGTTTGTCAGGACTGACCCGAAGGTGCACCCACGTAGACTGTTGGGTGACCGCAGACGAAAGGGCCGCGCCAGGGCCGGGGCTCGGCTCCACACGGGGTTCAGTGCAGCTTTGCGGACACCCTGTTCCGCGGGCTCGCCCTCTCACAAGTCCAAGATTAGTCCTGATGTAGTCCTGATGTAGTCCTGGTTTAGTCCTGGTTTAGTCCTGGTTTAGTCCTGGTTTAGACCTGGTTTAGACCTGTTTTAGTCCTGGTTCCGCCACAGATGCAGTTTGATGTTCTGGCTGTTCCGCTCTCTGACTGTCCAGTCATTGGGTCAGAATCCGGTGACGTTGTCGCTCACTAAAAAAGTTCCTGGTGACACCAACTCAGAATCTGATTGGTTGGAGCAACAGTTTCATGGACATTTATTTTGTGTTCGAGTTCCTGCAGAACGGATTGTGAAGGCCTCAAACCTCTTTGAGTTTGACTCTGCCTGACAACAAGTGACATCTGAAATGTGATTGGTCAAATGCTTTAATATGAAAACACGTGTGGAAGCAGCACAAGCACCGGAAAAGCTCTGAAAGGAAGAAGACCAAGCATTTGCAATTATTTAATAATAATATAATGAACGTCAGTCTGTGATTGAGATGTTTTTAGGCCCACAGAGAAGGACTTTCAGGCCCTGACTCCCCGCTACTGGTATCTTATCGTGGGACACTTTTGGGGCATTTAATCTTCACACTGGAGATCAGATACAAGTCGCGTTTAATTGGAAATGTGAAAAACCTCGCAAAA